ACTCGGCCCGAGGCCCTAAACCCTAAGCCGTGTCCCAGGGAGCCCTTCGTCTGCAAAACTTCTGCGGAAGAGCAGACAGATCCTGAGCCGCTCCCGTACTTGAAAGAGAAGCGCCTTCGGATGCGTTTGATTTTAGGGTTTAGGGTTTAGGGGTTTAGGGTTTAAGGTTTAGGGTGTAGGTTTAGGGTTTAGGGTTTAAGGTTTAAGGTTTAGGGTTCGGTTTTTTGGGGTTCCTGTCAGGGTATAAGCATGAGGTCTAGAGTTGCCAGCACAGGGTTTAGGGTAAACTTGGAGGATCAGGGGACTCGGTAAGTAAGGATGTTAAGTACCCTAGTTGCCTTCGTTGGGCTTATGAGTAGTTATAGAGCTATAGTTACTTGGCTTATATCCCTAGTTACCAAGTCCCATGATCCTCTAAGTGGGGGGTTCCTTTCAGGGCTCCTTTAAGGGTACTGTTATGAGGCATTGGCAAAGGTTTAGGGTTCAGGTACATGGGGTTTTATAGGTTTTGCCGGACTTGAAAGAGAAGCGCCTTCGGATGAATCTGGGTTCTACGGGGCATTATAGGTCTGCTGGGGGTTGACAGGGCTTTATAGGTGAGATTACTCATTGTTTTGGACGAGAAGCGTCTTCGGATGAATCTGGGGCTTAAACCCTAAACCCTGTATCGGCCCGTTTAGGGGGACAGAGGTTTGTGTAATTCCGAGTCTGAAAGTGAATCAGGAACCAAAAGCCTCAAAGCCACCTCTGTACCTCTGACGGTACCTCCGCGCTTAGGATAGGTTGAGCCCTAAGCTCAAACAACCCAAGCGCCCCAAACCTTGGGACCAGTTGAACGGAACACTGCAAGGGATGCCTTAAACTTTCGACTATTCAATACCTTTTCTTTTTGGCAGGTTCTTGTCATATCGTTTAATTTATAGCTCATAGTTTATACGGGCCATACAAAAAGTAAGTCAGCAGGTTGTAGCAGCTTGAACTAGAATCCAGGGCTCCCTTATTGAGGCCGTACTCTCCTGGTGTTCTTCAGGAACTACTCGTCCTACAACATCCAGCTGGCTGTGGCTCTGCACACTCCGGGCGCAGAAGGCACCTCTGCCGAGGTAAGATAGGGGCTTGAATAGTTTATAGGGTTTAGGGTTTAGGTTACTTGGATCATCGGGCTTAGTAACAAGGGTATTCTAATAAGGTCACCAGTGCTGTAACCCCGAATTGAGCACTAAAGCCCAAGCCTAAACCTCAAACCCACAACCCCTCAAGCAGAACCCCCCGAAGGGAAGACGTGGACTAATATAGGGACCTGAATAATTTGAATAGGGTTTATGGGTATAGTATACTAAAATTATAATAAGGAGCCCCCCAAAACCCTATTCTAATTATCAAGGCCCCTACATTACCCCCACATCCCGATGCCCCCAGAGCCCTTAACAGGGCAGATTACGACGAAGCCCCGAGGACGCAGAGGCTGCCCACAAAAAACCCTTCTTTAGGGGCCTTAATATACCTGTATTATTTCGGGGTTCCTTCTTATATTTATAGTATAATATGCCCCAAAGCCCTATTCTAAGAATTACGGCCCCTACATGAAACCCGAAACCCCGAAGCTTAAACCCGAAGCCCGCAAGCCTCAAACCCCAACCCCTAAACCAGAAGCCCACGCCCCGAAACCCCTAAACCCTGAACCCATAATGCAGGAACCTGGCTAAGACCTATAACCCCAATATAGTACAAAGAACTGGAATTTCTCTTATTGAGGCCCCCAGCCCGTAAACCCTCAACCCCAAACCCAGACCTTAAGCCCAAAACCCCTCAGCCCGTTATAAGCCCTTCAAAAAGGTAAGACAGAGACGACCATCTCCGAGTCGAACTTCCGACATATGTACTGGACACCTCGACAGCCCCCTGGGTGGAACCCAAGGGTTTCTCGGAGCTTCTTTCTGGGGGGGTTTGGGGTTTTAGGGTTTAGGGTTTAGGGTTTGTGGCTTGGGGTTTGGGGTTTGGGGCTTAGGGTTTAGGGCTTGGGGTTTGGGGTTTAGGCTTTGATAAGGGGACGCTGTTCAGATCTTAGGGTGTGTGTGTGTGTGTGTTTTTTGTTTTTTTTTTCTGGCGGGGTGTAGGGTAAGTGGAATCTTAGGGTTTTTGTATGCTTTTTGGGGGGTGTAGGCTTAGTGGAATCGTATTGTATGTTTTTTGTGTGTTGGTGCGTAGGGTTGCTGGACCCTTAGGCCTTGCGGCTTCGACTTAGGGCTTTTGGGTTTTAGGTTTTGGGCCATCTTGCTCGAGGCGCAGGGCTTATGGATAAGGGTTTACAGGGTTCAGGGTGAAGGGGTTCGGGGAAATGATTGTTGTTTTCCTGAGGGGTTCTAGGGGGTTTCTATGAGGGGTCATACAGGGTTTATTCGGTTATTAGGGTCTCGACTTTCCCTTGAGATGAAGAGTTCACGGTTTAGAGTAAAAGGGTTGTTGGTTTAACACAGTGCTTGCAATGTGGATTTGTTTAGGAGATTCTCTAAACCCTAAACCCTAAACCCTACACCCATTCTCCATACGGAGTCTTTTTTGGAGGTTTAGCATAGACGGAGGTGGCAGGGCCTCATGAACACGTGGATAGCTCCGCAGGATGTCCCGTTGTCGTCGGACTCCCGTTGAAAATCCTGGACTTAGGGTTTAGGGTTTAGGGTTTAGGGTTTAGGGTTCTACTGCATTGCTCATGGATTCATGTCTCATGTCTCCCCTTCCCCCTTCCTTTTAGTCCCTATACAATCATGACCTCTCATAAACCTCAACGGCCTCCCTGAACCCTAAACCCTAAACCCTACCTGTTCTTGACCTCAATGGGCATGGGGATAATGATGTTCCCCTAGGCCCTAAACCCTAAACCCCTAAACCCTAAACCCCTATGTAAACCCTAAAACCCAACACCCTAAACCCTAAACCCCTATGTAAACCCTAAAACCCTAAACCCCCAACCCCTAAACCCCTAAACCCAACTTTCGGGCTTCTACTAGAAGCCGTAAGGGCCCAAACTCTTGAGCCCCCGAAGTTCCAAAGTCCCAGAGCCGAACCATGGGACTTATGGTTTAGGGTCTAGGGTTTAGGGTTTAGGGTTTAGGGTTTAGGGTTTAGGGTTACGGTTTAGGGGTTTAGGGGTTTAGGGGTATATAGGGGTCTGGGGGTTTAGGAGTTCAGGGGTTTTAGGGGTTGAGGGGTCTACGGGTTTAGGGTTCAGGGGTTTTGGGTTTTTTTAGGGCTTAGGGTTCTTAGGGTTTAGGGTTTTAGGGTTTTGGGGTTTTAGGGATTTAGGCTTTTAGGGTTTTGGGGTTTTAGGGTTTAGGGTTTAGGTTAGTTCAGAGATCAAACGACAGCCAGCTTAGGGCTTCACCTGGACCCTAAAGAACCTGCCTGTTTAGGGTTCCTTATTATGATTTCTTTGTACAAGTCCTTACAAACGTAGGTTATTTGGGGTTAAGGGAGGAATTAGGTTTACGGCTAGGGCCTAGGTCGAGTTTAGGATTTGAGTAGGACTTAGGTACCTAGCTCGCACAAGTGCATTCCCCTGTTTCAAGCTGAAGAGCAGGAGAACGGATTCCGCCTTGTAAGGGCATCAGATTGTCACAGCATGAGAGTTCTTCTTGTTCAGATCCTCTACCCCAACAAGAAGCCCTTTTGGGGTTACGGGCGTACATCATACATACATCTATGTGTGTGTATATATACACACATACATACTAGTAAGTTAAACAATAAGTAAGTGTATATATTTATATACATATTATTATTATTATTAATATATATATATATATACACACACACATACTGTTATTAACCTACTATTTCGGAGGGAAACCTTAAGAAACCCAACAAGAAGCCCTTCTGGATCCTTTTTTGGGGTCTCCCCCCAAACCTTACGGAGTCCAACAAGGTCTACGTTCCTTAAAAGAACCCTATCATACGATTGAGTGTAGGGTTTAGAGGTTTACGGTTTAGGGTTTACCTGCATTAGCCATCATAAGGAATACACCATAATTCCCATAGTTTAGGGTCCTTAAGGTAATGCAGGATTTATATCATCAACGGTAGGATCCCTATACGTGCCCCGAAAGGAACTCCAAAGTTTCAGTAGCCGAGGCAGTTGGTACATCATGCCGTGACTGGCTGCCCCATGGCACCTCGGAGAGCATTGAGATTTCGATGTGCATAGGGTGCAGGGTTAGATGTAGTGTACTTGGAGGATCGGGGGACTTAGTAAGTAAGGTTATAAGTACCGGGCCTAAGTTGAGGTTATATAAGTAACTATAAGTCTAGTTGCCGTATTTATAACTTGCGTTTGGTTAGGGTGATTTTT